ACATGTGGTGGCTGTGCCCCAAAGTAAAAAATTATTGGGAACGGATAAGAGATTGGATACAGGAGATAACTGAGATACAAATGGATTTCAAACCAGAAATATTTCTTTTGGGCATAATAAATTTAAAGATGGAAAAACAACTCCAACACATCATTATACACATATTGACTGCAGCTCGTATAGCATATGCGCAATGTTGAAAGAGTGAAAATATTCCCACAAATGATATGATTATGTATAAAATCTTGGAATGCGCAGAAATGAACAAACTTACGTTAGAATTAAAAGACAAGGAGACGTCAGAATTTTATGAAATTTGGAATAAATGTTATAATTGGCTAGAACAGAAAAAGAAAAAGACATAATTATTGATGTACATAAAATGTAAATAAGATGTAAAGAATATTTAAAATGTAAAGCACTGTTCTTTTAGAAGAAAAGATTTATGTTTATGTAGTTTTTGGTGTATGGTGTATAGTGAAAAATAAAAAAAAAATAAAAAAAAAAAAAAAGAAAAGAGCTAGGTTGGTACATCGTGCCAGACCACACAAAACTAAGATTTGAAGGCAAAGCCAATGTATCCTGCAGTCCCCTTTTAGTAACTTAGTTAAGCCTGCTGTGTCAGCACAGCCAGAATCTATGGACTGTAAGGGGCTAAAGGTGACTTGCTGGAATTATCATTCGGACCATTGTGGCTGCTGCTGTGCAAGAATTAAAGTAGGTGCTGAAGACTAGTTGTTTTCCTTTGCCTACACACACTCACACACTCACACACACACACACACACAGCAGGCTGATCTATTCTCCCCCCCCCATTGTTTACTTCTCCTTATCTCTCTTTCTAGTGACGAACATTTCTCTTGTGCCAGAATGGAGAGTCATGGGGAACATTGGCGGTTAATATAAAATGAGATAAGGCGAGATAAACAAGAGACGAAGAACAGCATGCCTTGTGCGCTACATATTTGTATTTCCCCATCTCTTTCTGTCGAAGGGTCCCATGGTTAACCATGGTTTAAAACCCCCAAATCTGGGTTCATGAACCACACTAAGTCATAAATAAGTAAAGTAGGTTTGGGTTTATTTGTAGTGTGAGTCCAGCTAGTTTAGCATAGCTGAAGAAACAGATGCTGGAAGAATCTCAAACTTCCAAATGACAGTTTTACTGTAAGAACAAATCCTCAAGACACAAACAATCCAATAAATATTCCCCTTGAAACCTGGGAAAACACGACATGGGGACAGTGTTGTAGCAAGACATTCTCAGGATTGGTTCTTTCTCTTGCAGTTGGAAGACCCTCAAAGAAAAGCCCCCAAACCTCTCTTAATTTAGGGGGTAGGCAATCCACAGATTGCCCATTTTAAACCAATTTGTGTGGCCCCAAAGGATGCACCCATGAATTGCTGTAGAATTTTTGGCAGGCACATCAATCATATGTTAGTCAGATGCTCTTTCTTTGCATGAGACTGCCTCTGAAAAGTTGAAGCAGACATTCTGTGGGTCCAAGTTCCAACATGAACAAGCGAGGAGCTGTTTAGAAATCCCCCTTCTTTTAAATCACACATTCAAAGACAAATGAGCCAGGCTTGTTTATGTATATTGAAGTGGTTTGCTGCTGAATTTCTGTGGTTGCTTTGACAGAGAGAAAAAAATTACTGTATTTTGCCGTTCCTCCTTACTCCACTTCTGGCCTCTTCTGTGTAGGACTTACATATAATAAGACGGAGAGGCAAAATTAATTTCCCCTTAGAGCAAAAATATAGAAACAGGAGGCCCAACTCCCTCCTGAATTTGGTAGAAGAATCGAGTCCCACATGGATCAAAGGACTCTTTTGCATTCTACCAAAGTTACTGGCATGAACACCTGAACAGATGTCTTGCTGAGTTTATATAAATTCTGGATTTTGGGGCTGTACAAACAGAAATTAAATAGCTCTTTCCTTTAGCACTCCTTGGGGATTTCTTTGTCTATACAGACATTTTATCATCCAGAAAGCTAGTAGGTGACAGGTAGAAATAGCACAGGGGAACTGAATATTTGGACTTTAACAGCAGCAACATCAGTAGCAGACAAAGAATGGTAATTTTTCAGTCCAGCCTTGAAGCAGGGACCCGTAGAAAGGAAAAAGAAGTCACCACAGTTCTTATATTTAGATCTAACATACGACATGTCTTTTTTTACTCCCTCAACACACTCTTTGAGCTAGCAATGTGACTTCTGTCTCCCTCTTGCCACTTCTAAAAGTTATTCACACAGTAACACCTTTTATTTTGGATTAATTAATTATGCAAGCAAGTTCCTGAGGCTTCAGAATGAGGAGCAAAGAAGATAGTAAAAAAATAGAGACGTTTAGGTCAATTAGAATACAATTAATTAGAATGAAATGCAATGAATGAAGAGCAGATGGGGGGGGGCACTGCTTTGTTTTAAAAAAAGTTTGAGTTTTTCTCCCCAATGATTTTCAAACTCAGTATATAGGTATGTAGGCGTCAAACATCTATATAATGAGTTGCCAGATTTTAATGCTTTAAACCACAATTTTTCTGGCATCATTTTGATCTCCATATTGTGACAAGTTTCATTTGCAGGATATTAAATTCCCATAAGGACAGGTCAGCCCATATTTTTCATTAGCTGTCAACTCCTTTTCATCCATGATTTTTAGTGCCAAATTACATCAAACTGTTAAGTATGTACAATTTCATCTCTTTGCTAAGTTTTCCCTTTTAATAATTTAGCCTTAAGAATTCAAAGTTAATTACATGTGAGCTCTGTCAGAAATGTTAGTGGCAGCTTTGGATGGTATACTGTATGCACAGAACAAATAAATGAGCTTAAGAGGATGCAGAAAGGTTAAAGATTGGTTGATACTCACTTGAATGTGATATCCCCTCCACGCTCCAAGCTTAAATCTCTGCGGCTGTAAAGAAAAAGGAAGGGAATTGTAAATCACTGCTTCAGGGTCCTTATGGTAGCTAAATATCTATGGAGCTTCTCAGTCATCCAGGTCATGGTTGTCCCAAAGGTGCTTTTTCACAAGCCAAGTGGACTTTCTTGTTTTTCTTTGAAAACATTTTGCTTCTCATCCAAGAAGCTTCTTCAGCTCTGACTGGATGGTGGGGAATGGAAGGATTTATATTCCTTGCAGACAGCTGGTCATTTGCATTCTTTTAGAGAGTCGTTGAGGCCACTTGGAGGTTTATCTGTGTCCTCAAGGTCACCCAAGTAATGCAAATGGGTGTGACACCTTCTTGGAATTGCTGAAAGGACTGTTTTGTAGACTGGAGATAGATGATGTTGTATCCCACCCCCTCTATTGAGAGACTCTCTAAAACATGTGTGTCAAACTCGCCGCGTCACGTGACGTGTCATGACGTATCGCGACCTTTTTTGCATTGCCGGAGCTGGGGTAGGCGCAGCCTCTGTATGATGCAACCAGCCCGTGGGCCGGCAGTTTGACACCCCTGCTCTAAAAGAATGCAAATGCAAGGAATATAAATCCTTCCATTCCCCACCATCCAGTCAGAGCTGAAGAAGCTTCTTGGATGAGAAGTAAAATGTTTTCAAAGAAAAACAAGAAAGTCCAGTTGCCTCTTGAAAAAGCACCTTTGGGACCTTAGGGTAGCTCTTTTCATGCCAATCACTCGGTCCCTCTCTCCCATTTTCTCCACAAATATAGAAACATATAAAACTGATGGCAGAAAAAGACATAGTGGTCCATCAAGTTTGCGCTTTGAGGTTATTTGTTTGTTTTCTTTTTAAATAATTTATTATTTTTTAATTATTATTTTTATAGTTTTTAATTTTTGTCAGATGATGGACGTGTTTATCCCAAGCATTTTTAAACTCAGTTATTGATGATTGACCCACTATCTTCGCTGAAACTTGAATCCAAGCTTCCACTACTTTCTGTGAAGTAATACTTTTAACGTTACTTTTGAACTTCCCTCCTGTCAGTTTGAGGTTATGCCCCTGTATTCTTGATTTTTGCTTAATATTGAAAATACTGCCTTCTAGAACCTTATTGATACCCTTAATATATTTAAAGGTTTCAATCATGTCACCCCTTTTCCTTCTGTCCTCCAGACTGTACATATTCAGTTCCTCTAATCCAGGGGTGTCAAACTGCTGACCCGTGGGCTGGATGTGTCATGTTGAAACTGCGCCCACCCCATTGCCGGCAATGGAAAAAAAGTCGTGATACGTCACGACACGTCACATGACGTTACGAGTTTGACACCCCTGCTCTAATCTCTCTTGATATGTTTTGTCCTTCAGACCTTGCACCATTTTTGTTGCTCATCTCTGGACCTGCTATCTTATTAATATATTTTTAAGTGAGGTCTCTAGAATTGGACATATTATTCCAAATGGTGTCTCACTACAGGCCTATATAGCAGGACTAGAACCTTCTTTTTCCTGCTGGTGATCCCTCTAGTGATGCATCCTAGAATTTTGTCTGCCTTCACAACTCTCTGGCCACACTGTTCATTTTGAAGTCATCTGCTATGAGCACATCTAAATATCTCAAGACCTGACTTTCTACATGCTTTCCCTGATTATTTCTAATATTTTTGTTGGTATTCTTTATATAACTGCAACCACAAGATAACCTAATTTGATAAATAAAACCTCCAGCCTTCGGAATGAATGTTTTTAGTGTCACAAACTTGACAGTGTTTTTAATCTTTTTTCATGTGGAGAAAACAGGCCTATCAGATTTGGATTACAAGTATCATGGTAACAGCTAGATGGTAGCACAGAATATGCCTTCTGAATATCTTTGCTGTCATTTAGTGTTTGTGTGGAGCTTTCCAGACAAGTCTGGTAGCTCTAGAAAAGCAACTTCAGAATCCTAGCGCATATCAAACATGTAATGTCCAGCAATTTATGTATTCCAGTTTTTTTCAAACTTGGCAACTTCACGATGTGAAGACTTCAACTCTCATTAGCCAGCATTCTGGTGCTTCTGGGAGTTGGGAGTTCATACATCATAAAAACACCAAGTTTGGGAAAACTGTGAACTATTCTGTATTGTTATTATTATTAATAATAAATACTAGTTTACAATTGTTTTATAATATTATACGGGATGACTTCCATAAGATAAAAATCAAATATAAATACTTAAGTCATCTGCCTTTCAAGCTTAATAATTAATTCACTGATTTACATTATGGCATTTCAATACATTGCTCAAATCTTCAGGGCCCAGTTTTTCCAAGATTCTAAAGAGAGCAGAGACTAAATTTATGACTGAGTCATATGAAAATTGCCTATTAGAATGGCAATTCCTAAGCTGGAAATTTTGAAGAGACTCCTGAAAAGACCTGGAAAAGTTAATTAATGAAATAATTACAGAATCTTGAAAAGTCTTTAAAAAACCACTAAGGCTGAGCTTCATTTGAAGCAGGAGGCTTTCTCAGGCCTAGGTAAAAAACCTATAGGTCTGTGACTGGCTACTTTAGATGCAGATTGTGTAATTGCTGAAGTATCTTTGTGAAAAGTACATTGTTCTCAAACACTGATCTAGGCCTAACCCCATAGGCTGGCAATCAAGAGGAAAATGTTTGAAAATGTTATGTTTAGGTTGGGTCTTTTGCTTGGACATCCTTCTTTCCATTGTGTCCTAGCTTGTTTTCTACCCGTAGGACTATTCTGGCAGCTATTCTGAGAGCTTAACCTGGACTCAGCCTTGCCCAGTCCTCCCTGTCCCCACAACCTGTTGTAACTGCTCCAATAGAGTTGAATGTTGGGTAAATTTGTAGCATGACTCAGGATATCCCGCTGTTGTTGCACCAACTCAGTGTTCTTGGAAAGTTCCTCCTGTGGAAGAAGAGGAGTGTTACTCCTGTAACTTAATATCACTGCTACTCCATTAAATTTATCTAACCTCTAGGGCTGCCAACTTTTGAACCAGCCTCTGTTGCTTGTGGCTTAACATCAGTCTCCTTTGGCAAAGGATTTTCTGCCCTCCATGCTAAGAAAATTCATGCCTGTTGACTTCTGTACCTCCAATTGATGTTAAAGGCACTGGAATAGATCCAGATTTCTTCTACCATTTTCTCTCAATCCAACTGTAATTATGATCAGTCATATAACTCCATATCAGTGCCACCCCCCCTCCGGAAAATAAATATTACATATAGAATAAGGAATGAGAATAATAGAAAAGAAAAAAAACTTCTAAAGCAGTGTTTCTCAATCTTGGCAACTTTAAGATGTATGGATTTCAACTCCCAGAATTCCCCAGCCAGCATGGAGTTGAAGTCCATTCATCTTGCCAAAATTGAAAAACACTGTTCTAAAGTAAATAGTTCTACCCTGCTTTCAAAAAAGAGGAATTATTTTCTTGTTTCCTATTTATACTTTATTTTCACTGCCATATCAACTGTTCTCCAAGAACCATTCAAATTGCCAGCCAACATACTGTAGCTGCATTAGAAAGTAATCTGCAGTCTCTCATATATTTAATTTTGAAGTAATAAAGTTCAATACACACATTTTTTAAAAAGCCTGTCTTAGTATTACCAGGGAGCTGGAAGTGAAGCGAGACTAACGATCCTACTCTGCTTCTTTATGTACCATCCATCATTTCTTTATTCTCCTACTATTCATGCTTACCTGGCTGAAGAGATGTCCTAGGATCATCTCAGAAATGGAAGAGGTGAGGCCGGTAAGCTTAAGAAAAAAACAGAATATGATTAGAGGACAAACAGAGAATTATTCTGAAAGGGCAAAACTGGTAGTCCTCAACTTACAACCACAATTGAGCCCAAAATTTATGTTGCTAAGTGAGAAATTTGTTAAGTGAGTTTTGCCCCATTTTATGACTTTTCTTGCCACATTTGTTATGTGAATCACTGCAGTTGTTAAATTAGTAACATGGTTGTTAAGTGAATCTGGTTTCCCCATTGATTTCGCTTGTCAGAAGGTCACAAAAGGGAACACATGATTCCAGGACACTGCAACCATCATAAATGTGAGTCAGTTGTCAAGCATCCAAATGTAAATCACATCACTATGGGGATGCTGCAATGGTCATAAGTGTGAAAAGTGGTTAAGTCACTCTTTTCAGTGCTGTTGTTCACTTTGAATGGTCACTAAACGAACTGTTGTATGTCAAGGACTATCTGTACAAGAGGAAAAGCTGAAGGTGTTTGAAATTAAAGGCATTGACTTATGCCTTATGCTCAAGCCTAGAAGTTGTTTAATTTATATGCCACCCATCTTGCTTCAAGAATGACTCAGGGGTTGATCCTGCCAGTACAGAAAAAGGTGCTTTTGAATATATGCAAACTCTATTTTGTTGTACCTTTTAGTTATTTTTGAACTCCCTGCAATATAGAAATTGTCCTTTAGATACTTTTTTCCACTTCCATACTTTCTAATTTATTTATTTATTTTGCTCTGTCTCTCAAAAAGTTGGGAAACAAGATCAGAATAATGTATGTTAAGAGATTTGCTTTTATGAAGGGCAATGGATTAGAGGTTTAGATTTAAGAAATAATGAAGTATGTATGAGAAATGTGTCAATTTTGTTTGCATGTATTTAAATCAACTAATAATGGTTGGAGGGAGTAACTAGGAACTGCTCCATTCACTGTCCACTCACCAAGAAACTGTTGTGGAGAGTCAGAGATGAGCATTTAAATGGTTTAACCTAAGAAGCCATCATATTACTTGATGAAACATGCTAACCCCACATATCAATATATCAATATATCCCTATAAGAAAACAATAAACTATTTTTAGTCTCTAAATCCCAGCAGCGAACTGACACATGCACATGAGCAAAATTGCTGACCTTCTCTTGAAGCTATATGGGCAACATATTATACTGATGATTGTACTGATACCACAATTTTAGCAAAAGTATGACAGACATACATATAGGTGCTTCAGATCCTGGACAAAATATCTTTTAGAGAATAAATGAAAAATAGCAAGAAAGTGCAAAGATTTTGGAAGTAGCAGGTTGCCCTTCACTGCTTTAAAACAAAGACTGATAGTCATTTTAATTACTTGCTATAACAGAGTCCTGCATACAGTTTGTTGGCAGACAGCTATGAGCATCTTCCTCAGTCTTACCTTATGAGCAGCCCAATCCATCCAGCCCTTGGCATTGGGGTCAATGTTGATCAGAACCAATCCCTCCACAGTGTCTGCATGGGAGAGCTGTGGGAAAATAACAATAAGAAATAAGCATAAACATGATGATACTTTAACTGCAATAGCACAGCTCAAGCATATTTTAGGGTAATTTATCACATTCCTCATGTATATTTTCAGACCTGGACAAAATATACAGTAGAAGTAGACTATAGAAAGAGATGTACCATTCAGTTTGCATGGTCCATATCCATGTGCAAACTTCAATGTACATTGGCTGTGTTCACATAACATGCTTAACCTCATTATTGAATTAATCCACTTTCTATGTTGAACCATAAGCTCATCAAATGGCCTGACACCATCTGCTAGCCACATTTATTGAAAACATTAAGGTTACATATAATAAATACCAAAGCCCAACAAAGTGAACAACATGTTGGGAAAAGAACTAACACAGTATTGCTAAATTTGGATTATTGTCATGAGATTTATCTACTGATCAGAGAAAGGATATTATAATATGGAAAAAAGGTACTAGAATGACTAGTGGTGTAAAATACATTGGGTTATTGTAGGAGATGACCAGGCTGAGCCAGAGGGAGGGTTAACGTTAACAGTATTTGGATTACAAAAGACTTTTGTGGGGTATACCAAACACCTCCCTTCGACCAGTCCGCTCCCACAGAGAGGGCCTCCTTAGGGTGCCGTCGGCCAGACAATGCCGGCTGGCGACCCCCAGGGGGAGAGCCTTCTCTGTGGCAGCTCCTGCCCTCTGGAATGACCTACCCCCCGACCTACGTACAGTTGCGGACCTGCGCCTTTTTCACCGAGCCCTGAAGGCTCATCTATTCTGTGCGGCCGGCCTGGCGTAGTTTGATTATGTTTTAGTGGGGGTTTTGTATGGGGTATTTTTAGAGCAGGCCTGTTATTTAATTTGATTTTAGACAGAAATTTGTGTATATTTATTGTGGTTTTTATTATCGCCTGTTCACCGCCCTGAGTCCCGTAAGGGAGATAGGGCGGTA